TATATATATATATATACATACATATATATATATATATATACATATATATATACATAGTTCCCGCCTCTTGACTTTAGCGCTGTTCATAAACAATACTCGGTAGGCCAACCAATGCTTTAATACTTCGCTTTGAATCCCGCGGGTCTATTACCCATAATGCACCATATATAGTTATATACTATATGCTTGGTCGGATCAGAAATTCTGCATAAATAAATGTAATTAATTAATTAACTTTGTTTATAGAGAATAACACTTGACAGTAATTCAACTGTTAAACTTGTGGTCCTCTGTTAACGTCTCTAGTTAATTAGGGACAGGACCGCCATTAACTTGATCATCCGAGCCACGTGAAGGTCTAACCATTTGTAGATGTAATTACAAAGGCAGCACCTTCTCCTCAGTTATTTTAAGACCCTGAGTGTTGGTCGGGCCGAGGCCTGAACAACGACCTCCCGCACAACAGACCGACGCTCTTGCCAACTGAGCTAACCGGGTGTGTATATCGCTGTATATTTACCGCCACCGGGTGCATTATGGGTAATTTTCAAGTTAAAAAAAAACGTTTTAATAGAATTTAAATGCGATATTTTCGGTGAAATATAATCATAGTGTACATTGTAAACCATAATAAGAGATATTTGCCTAACGTTTGGTTAAAAATCGTTTTTTTTTTTTGTTTTTTGTTGTTTTTTTTTAAATCTGGAAATCAGTTTATATATGGATATACTGATATACTTGACTTTTACAGAATTTTTACAAAGCGCCGTATATATATAACTACTAATCATTTTTCAGATACATCCATAGAGCGAAACACGCTGATGGTACAGGTCTATCCTCGTATTAAGAAGTTCTGTCAGGAGCGAGGATATGAGTTTCAGGTGGTGGATATGAGATGGGGAGTACGAGACGAGTCCACTGATGATCACCTTACGTCGGAACTCTGTATGAAGGAGATACGCGCATGTCAGAAGCTTTCTACTGGACCTAATTTTATCGTGGGTATCATCAGTAGTTATCAACGGTCAGTTTTTTGACGTTATCTTCATGAATTGATGAAGTCTCTCTTTATTTTATTCTTTGGTATTGTAGACATTTTTGGGTCAAAAGTATGGCTACCGTCCATTCCCGCCTAAAATTCCTACTTCTGAATTTGAGATTCTGCTAAGTGCTGTCGAGAAAGAAGACGACATTGAACTGTTAAAATTATGGTTTGTTCGCGATGATAACACCGTGCCCCCGGAATATCTTCTTCGGCCAATCACATCTGTTCTTCYGGACTATCGTAACTATGGTAACCCAGAATTACGGAAACAGGCGTCCGGTATGTGGTGGGCAGCGTTTGAAAGAATGCAAATTGTACTAAGRAAGGCAGCAGATAAAGTACTGACGAAGAAGAATGATAGACTTAAATACCACATATCAGGTAACACATCCACTTTTTATAAACCGATCAAAGTATACATTAGTTATTCATATTCAGTAAAGAATTGACTGGCCTTAATTCTGTTTCATAGTGACAGAGGATGAAATTCGGCGTGGCATCATTAACGCTAARAGTCCAGCAACCCATACCTTTTGGTTCAAGCGTGTCATTACTGACATCAACCAGCACATTTCAGATACCAAGGTAGGAAGCTTTATGGACAAGACATGGGGTACGCCTGGAGAGGTAGATAAAGAAGCTCAGTCTTTATTGAATACCCTACGAGAAAAAGACCTTCCAAAARCCATCCCCAACAAAAACGTCATTCAGTACAATGTAAAGTGGAACAAAAATGGCATAGATCCAGACGCTTCTTCGGAACATGCGCAGTACATTGAAAAGCTTTGTAATGACTTCTATGGCAAGCTAACAGAGATGATAAGCGATGGTATAGCCGAAAACGAGACTGCAGACACTAAAGAACCGTTAGCTGAGGAAATCTTCCAGCATTTGTCATTCTGCCAGAAAAAATGCAAGGCCTTTTTTGGACGAGAGGATTTTTTGGAATCAATAAAAAACGGACTGGTAAACAATAACAACAGGACAATAGTGCTACRTGGARAATCAGGCTGTGGAAAAACCTCCTTAATGGCTAAAGTGGCAACTGATGTAAAGTCATGGTTTGAAGGCGAGTCCGTTCTAATGGTTTGCAGGTTTATTGGAACTTCTCCTGAATCTTCAAGCATACGACCACTCCTGAAAAGCATCTGCCAGCAACTGTGCAAGATATCCGGTCAAACTGCAAACATTCCAGAGGTAAATATAATGACTATATATATATATATATATATATATACACACACACACACACACAATCGATTGCATATATATATATATATATATATATACCAATAACTTTATCCTGTGCTGCTCTAATCGACCCCGATGAACGAAATAAGCATGATATTAAATTATGCATGATTATCAAATTCATATTAGTGAATGATCTAAATTCAAATTTCAAATATCTTCAGGATATCAAATCTCTAGTGGAATTTTCCCCTGAGTGTTTGGATAAGGCCAGTAAGGACATGAAGTTGGTACTTGTCCTTGATTCACTCGATCAGCTTTCCGTAGACGATAGCGGGCGCCTTCTTGATTGGTTACCACGTGACCTGCCTTATAATGTGTATGCTGTGTTGTCTACGCTACCAGGTGAACAGTACCAGTGTCTACCAAGTCTGAGGGTAAGAGCTTTTTGGAACTGGCCCACACTGTCATAAGTGCTCAGTTCCATTTGTCTTAATATTAAAAAATTGTTTGTTCGTTTATAGCTCAAGCTTCCAAAGGAAAGTTTCACGGAAGTTCCACAGATCCCTTTAAATGAGGCTGATATCATACTGGACAACTGGCTCAAAGCCGCAAAAAGAGCTCTACAGCCAAAGCAAAGACACGAAGTCATGATCAGTTTTCAGGAATGTCCCTTGCCATTATACCTAAAATTGGCTTTTGATGAATCATGCCGATGGAAATCCTACACTCCATTTAAAGAATGGGACCTTCCTCCTAACGTTAAAGATATCATCCGTGGATTGTTTGATCGAGTGGAACGAATCCACGGAAAAGTTCTTGTTGGCCACGCCCTAGGTTACATAACAGCGTCAAAAAATGGCCTCACTGAAACTGAACTGGAAGATCTACTCTCTCTTGACGATGATGTCTTGAATGATGTCTACCAGTACTGGACGCCGCCAATAAGACGACTACCACCGTTGCTATGGATCCGCATACGAAGTGACATAAAGGACTACTTGATCGACCGAGGCGCTGATGGCACGAGAGTGATTTACTGGTATCATCGACAGTTCATCGAAGTGGCACGCGAGAGGTACCTTGCTGGAGAGCAGGCAAAGAAGATCCATGCTAACCTGAGCGAGTACCTTTTTGGTACATGGGCTGAAGGAAAGAAAAAGCCGTACGTCAACAAAAAAGGAGAAAAGCATTCAGACGATAGGTTGGTCGCTAGCCAGCCCATGATGTTTGACACAAGTGACCAAAAGCCCATTTTTAACTTGAGGAAACTTAGTGAGCTGCCATACCATTTGTTCCACGCTGGAAAATATGACACAATGAAAGACGAAGCCCTTTGTAATTTCGAATTTTTGCTGACCAAACTGAGAGCAACTTCAGTAGAAAATGTCTTGGAAGATTTCTCCTTGTATCTTTCTGTTCTTCCAAGTGATCCTGATGTGAAGATCATGCATGAATGTCTTCGTTTGTCGCTACATCCCCTTTCTGTCGAACCAAAACAGTTCTCTACGCAGCTTCTTGGCCGAATGTTCAAGTTTCAAGACAGAGCAGAAAAATATCCTTACGTCTGTAAAATCCTTAATCAAGCTCAGAATGCATCTGTGCCATGCTTTATTCCCAACAACAAGTTCTTGACGGCTCCTGGAGGTGCGTTAGTATCGACCATTGCATTGGATGGGTATGGCAATGATTTTATCAGCATTGCAAGTGACAACAAGATCATGGCAGTAACAAGTATAACCAGTGAAGGCTTGCAGATTAAGATCATCGATTATCAGAGTGGAAAGCAGCTTCGTAAGTTCACCGTAACAGAACCACCATCAATGTATCGAATAACTATGAATTCAATCAGCCAAAAGGATAAGAATCTACTACTCCTAGCAGGTGGTAAGACAATTTTCATACTAAACACTGAAACTGGACAAATTGTGAAGCAGTTTGAAGTGGATGCTGATGACTGGTTTTCTTTCAACCAGAAGCCCCCCGTTGCATACGCTGATGATGAAAACCTTCTGGTGGCATTAACGAGGAATTCATTGCGTGTTTGGCAAGTTTCAGACTGCAAGGTAGTTCATGACCTCCCTGTTAAAGATATCAATGTAGAAGATGAAATCGGAAATCTGGATGCAAGAGGGAAATACTCTGTCTACAATCTCAAGGGCAAGAATACCGTTCACTTTGTGGATATCAAACAAGGTAGAGAGGTTGACAAAATCAAAATCAATTCTCCAAGGGATAAAGGAGACTCTGGCTCAATCGGTGATCTTAAAATTACAAAGAGAGACGAAGTTGTGGTCGTTCCAGGATCTCTTGACAGTCTACGAATCTACGACCTTCACACAGGCAATCTGGTTAGAGAAATTACTACCTTCAAAATGATGGAAGGAATGGGACGAGTCCAAATAACCGAGGATGGAACAAAGGCATTAGGTATTGACATGTTTGAGATCTGTACCACCAACCTTCTGACCGGGGAATCTGAAAGATCATTAAGAAGTTCTATCTTCCGCATCAAGATTTTTACGCGAGATGGAGACACCATTCTAACTGTTGGGCAAGATTTCATACTGCGTGTTTATGACAGAACACGCGAAGGTGATGACGAAAATCAAGCTGACACCACGATTAATGAATATCAAGGACACAAGATTGCAGACCAGATCACTTCCATATCGCCATCGTTTGATCGTCGTCACGTGATTACCCTTGCAACCGTTCAGATGGCAAACCAAATGTCTGTATGGGACTGCTCGACAGGAACAAAAGTCCGTCAATTAAAAGGTTAGACATTTATTACGTTTTCTAACAAATTAAAGAATTAATAGTTCAGCCGTTTTGGTCCTTCGACAAGAACCGTCAACAGTGCGTTGCAATGTACGGGATATGACTGCCTGCATATTCTATTAAGTTAGCCGGTACAGGCGCACGCTGCTTGATTCAAACGCAACAGCTCGCACTAACATTGATAACGCACTGATAAAGGACCGAAAGCCAAAGCTATTAACACTAAAATTTTTAAAAAATAAACCATAGGGACAGGATTTCAAAAAGAATTGGTGGAGGTTTTGCTGTATGTTTCATGCTGCAGGAATTTAGGCTTGGAATATATTAGATTCATATGTAAATAATGTCAGCACAAAAGAAAATATAACGGAAAAACGTGCAGACAAAGCTTGGGGGAAATTCGATATGCTTGTGATCACTTTTTGCTGATTAGATTCACATCACTCATAGTGCATTTCAGGTTTGTGTTTATTATTAGTTGTGATTTTTTTTACAGGGGCGACTGTATTTCCAAATCCAATCCGTCTGACCCAAGACTCAGCCCGTGGCGTTGGATTCATTTATCATGAAAAGAACCCTCACTACAAAGTGTTCAATTTTAAAGATGGAGTAATAGAGAAAACATTGGAAGGAAGCGCCTGCAAAAGAATGAATGCATTTGGATTGATAGACGATCACCGAATGATATCGTTCTCGAGGCAAGTATAATACTGAGAATTAATGTATAGTCTCATTTTTACACGCCCAGACACGTTAGCTTTATTACTAAAAAATGAAAAAACTATATTAGAAAAAAAAAATAGAATAGTTTTATTACTAAGCATCATACTCATTTCTACCATTAAAACTATAACTAAAAAAAAACATCGTTGTTTACTGCCTTTACAGCTTTGGTCTTCGATCAACAAAAAAAATTAGACAAAACAATGAGTTGTTCATTTAGGCTGCAAAATTATTGGCATAGTCTAATTAGAAATAACAAAAAGGCAAAAACTAATTCGCATTTTGTTTGACACGAAAAGCCAAGAAAAAAGATTCGGGTAAAATCAGTTTTCCTGAAACATGTACGAACTCACTGAAAGTCAACTTACTCAAACTATTGATATTGAACATAGGTCATGATTGTATAATGAAGATGATTATCATCACCATGATGATAATGATAATAATACAATCTTTATTAAGTATGGCAGCAAAATGTGCCAGTCTACAATACACAATTACAATTTATATAAGTGAACGTGTGTCTATTTTAAAACCCGTGAATCTCGTGCAGCCTCTGGTTCAATGAATCATCAATCCTAAAACAAATAGCTATCTTTCCTTACAGAGGCAGAAAAAACCTTAAAGTATGGGACATCAACTCTGGGAAAGTCATTGACATTATTAAGTTCAAAGAAAAACACCTGCTGTTCCAGGAGATGCTGTTGAGTGGTAATGGGAAGGTGGCTGTTCTGTCGGTGAGCAGCATAAGCGAAACTCACCCAGAAAATACAACCATGCCTCTATATGTATTCAATACAACCAACAACCAACACAAGGCCATCACCATCAAAGACACCGTTCTTTCTTTGTACAACGCTGAAATCTCTGATAATGGGAAGTATTTAGTGTGTATTGCGGCATACACCACACCTTATCTCTTGGATTTGGAGACTGGAGAAGTGAAATACAAGCTCTTAAAGCCCGACAGCTATGAAAGCTCCATGACAGCCGCCATTAATACTATTTCTAACACTATAGTAACAGGTGTTGGTCAAGGGGGTATTAACGTTTGGGACCTCAACACTGGCGCAATCTTACGTACCATACCATGTGACACAGTCTCAAACGTTTACCTTTCTGGTGACGGAGAGGTGGTATTTGCCAGGGATTCCAAAGCCAACACTATACACGCTTGGGATGTGAAAAGCGGCAGAAAGTTATCTACTATCACCACTGACGGATTCCCCAACCAAGTACACATTGTTGGAAATCGCTTGGTAATTGCTGTTGGAGAAAATCCAAATCTTATGATAATGAGGCTGCATGTCCCAGGAAAGAATGTGGACAAAAGTGAGATAGCACCTTCACCTTACGATGGCTTGCCTTTAGATGTTGAGATAAAGGATCTGTCAGGGGAATTCATAGAGAAAGACCCAATGGACCACGACAAGTACGATAGTGGAAATATTATGTAGCCAGAAACACGATGAGACTTGTGCACTATTACTGATAAACACAGCACTGTATTAGTACATGACTGTATAACCGGAGCACCGCAAATGACTGGAATACACGCCAGTCTTGTGTACCAAGTCAACGATGTTAAGATAATCCAACTTTAAATATTATATACTGCTATTTCAAAAAAGGTTCGTGAAGGTTTTGTTGCATGTTGCATGTTTAATGTACCATATTCATGAGTAATTTTATAAAATATTTGAGATATAACGCGCGCGCTGATTGGCTGGCCACCGTGTTTCAAGTATCAGAGGACAGAGACATGCTCATGCAAAATTGCTCACAAAAATTTATGAAAGCAATAAAAAAGGGCTGCTTATGTCTCTGTACTGTAACATAAACACCCTGAGAGCTGTTGAGCACTTGAAAAGCAAGCGAAACACTCGGCGTCTAAGTTTGCTTCTCTCTCATGCTCTACAGCTCCCAGCGTGTTTAAATCACAGCACAGAGACGTGTGCGCGCGTTTTATATTTCTCAAGCAAGAGAAAATGAACTAATGAAGCTAGGAATTTCCCCTATATAGCCTTGTGACCATCATGTGCACAGTTTGATGCTATTTTTAAACCATTTGTTTTTCTGCACGCGCATTTACTGCGCGCGCTTTACGCTGTTTGCTTACGCTTTGGGGTTTTTTCCTTATTTCGACTCTGCCCTGGATATGAATGTGCAAGTAAAAAGCTTGGCAAATACGACGGGAAATTGACGTAGTAATTTGTTCAAATTTATGGAGTATTTTTACATTTATTTTTCAAAGCTTTTGACCTACATCGTCATCTTGAGGGCAGATTTGAACATTTGAACATAAGAAAAGCACAAGAAAATATTAGCAAACAGCGTAGAGCGGGCGCTTACTATGCAGCGTGTAGAAAATCAAACGATCAAATAAATGATATCATTGGAAGATATCTTTAGAGTAGATTCTAAAAATAGCATCAAAGTGTGCACATGATGTCGAAGAAATTATGTCAGAAAACGTGCAGACAAATTTTCAAGGAAATTCCATATTGCTGTGACCTTCACATCGATCATGGTGCATTTCGGGCTTGATATATGCAATAATTTAGAAATAGTACAATATGTGAAAAAGCTCTGATAGAGGCTTCGTACTATCACGTGACGGCAGCCATGACATGAGCCAAAAATGTCGTTCTCCCCTGGGGACTGAATTCTTTCTCATGTAAATCAGATTAGACGAGATTCAACTATTCCTGCCTCCTGTCATGACTGCCATCACCTGATGACTATTGACTATTGATGACTATTGATGACTATTGACTACTGCGATAATAATTTACTTCAATCCAGGCTTTACCTAGACAATGAAATGCATACATCATATATACTCTCAATAACCATGATATAATCACCGAAAAACAGCACAAAACTCTTGAAACAGTAATGATGAAAAGGTAAATTATACACCGTGAAAAGATGAAAAAACTTACTGACGTTTCGGACGCTAGTCCTTCGTTTGACTCCGACGAAGGACTAACGTCCGAAACGTCAGTAAGTTTTTTCATCTTTTCACGGTGTATAATTTACCCTTTCATTTTACTGTTTCATTAGAAACACCGACGCAGCTCACTCTAGTTTTTAGCTAGTTATATCTTCACAAAACTCTTGATGTTATTAAAGAGCACCACTAGACATTTTATAGTAACGTTCATGAAATTAAATCGCATCGCATAGAGAAAAAAGTTATAAAGTGTTATTTAGCCACACGTTGCGCCAAATCTATATAGATAATGACCATTTATGATATATATATATATAGCGCCCTTTCAGTATATAGATATTATCAAAGGCGCTTTACATTTAAATGTGAATGCTTTTTATGCAAATTACGATCATGAGAGATGGCTGGTATGAGGTGTAGGCACTAACTGAGAGTAGTCACTGTCAGGTTTTCTTTACGTCCTCAGTGTCTTTGCTTGATTGAGATTTGATATAACTGACTTTGGGGTTAATTGAGCTCTTCTTAATCGCCGCATAGTGATCGATGAAAATATTAGCGCGGCATCAAACTATCTTGGTTTAGTCATCTTTCCCGGATACATTATGATTATTGCATTGAGTCGAACTATCTTTCGTTCTAAAACAAGTACTACTGATGAAAATTTGCCTTGCTGAAGGAAGCTGCGCGCTTCAACACATCTGTCGCAGCGTGATCCGTCGTGACTGACAGCCATCGATTGGAACTGTCGTGACGTCTTTCACTTGTAGCAGGCGTCAGTCAGGAATTCAATAATCAAGCCGCATGGGAAAATCATGGATACCCCCTGAATGCTACTTGTTCTATTGAAATATTGGGTTCCCTGTCCTCCTCGGCTGACAAAAGTGTTGGTTTGTTAAGTTTCTATAAATACACGGTCATATTTTTTAGGAGGACTTTTTCTACTTTTGCATCTCATCTAGCTACAACCAATGCCATTAAGTGCGTACTTATATATTCATATAAAAAATTATTAAACATTTTAAAAGCCCTAAAAAAAATTAGCTGTTAAGACTTTTTCACGCTAGATTGATTCATAAGCATTGAATTCCAAAAGGTTTTGTCATCTACCGTTTCCCTGTTAAGACAGGGTTGTCAACTATGTTTAAGACAAGGGCAAACTTAGTTAGCTACAAGTTATTCAGGTTAGTATCTAAACGCACGGCTGGACACCTGTCATACAATGCTGTCATCCTATTAACGCTTCAGCTATAAATGGATCTTAACTTTCGAACAAAACAAAACGCTTGTTTGTGATTGGCTGAAATTTATAAATATTCTTCATCAATATAAAGTGAGCCATTATCAAGACAGTTTTTTTTTTCTTTCTTACATGTACAAGCTGGTAAGCTCAGAGTTGGAAATTGTGAAGATCACCGAAAATGGGCTCTGGAAGCAGCAAGRAGAAGAAGCTTGGAGCCGTGGCCACTGCACAGGTATGGTACACCGTTTTGAACTTGTATTTTGAAGTAGTGCCATTTTTATTTCAAAATATGTATAGTAAAATTTAATAGTTAAAGATTAAATACTTTTAAAAAATGTTTTTAATGAATAGGGTTGACGATTAGTATAGTATTATAGAACTATGTTGGATATTAGGATTTTATTTAAGCTACTTTATATATATTTATCGTATTCGAATCAATAGGATTATATTGGTGATTATGATGATGATGATGATGATAATGATGATAATGATTATGGTATCTTTATTTTTTACTTTGCTTTCTTATGTTACAACAATGCGGCTTCCGCCTAGGCTTTACTGGTTCTTGTTTGTTTGAATTGCTTTATGACAAATGTGTCAGTGACTATGCTATTATTGATCATTTTATTCCAACCTCAGGATAATAAGATATAATACGATATTTTCCTGGAGTAGCATTTTCCCAAGCACTAAGACTTCAAACTGGCATATTAACTGACATACCATAATCTACTGAACCTTTACCAAGTGCGCTAATTTGTCTTCTTTTTTAAATACCGTGCAAGCCTTCTTTCTTCCATCCTGATGCAGTCTTCAATGCTGATAAGGCCAGGCCCTCMCTCAGTTCTTGGTRAATAGATACGGTTGRCGAACTCCATACATGCACAACAACTTTCTGGCTTTTCGGTCCATTTCTTGGAGATCATTCTTTGTCCAACTGACTATTCCTCCACTGTTAGTAGCGACTTGATGATACAGCTCATGTATTGATTGCTTTTATGAGGTTTCCTCCATTTAGTTTCGACTTAAGAATTTGTTTCAGCCTTCAGCCTTTACTTCAATTTGTAGAATGACATCAGCTTCGAGCACACCCAAATGCTTATAACAATCATCATTTTCTATAGATTTTAGCTTTCTGCCATCTGGAAAAGAAAATCCTTTACTCTTGATCTTCTTACCTCTATAGTAACATATAGATCAGTGCGCAATTGACTGTACACCTTGCCACATAACATACACCTTATCACATCGTTACATGTTATACAACGTAACAGGTAAACATACTATACACCTTACCACATCGTTATAAGTTTTAGAGCCTAACAGGTAAGCATACTATAGACCTTACAACATCGTTACACGTTATACAGCATAACAGGTAAGGGACTGGTCATAAAGTATAGGGGGGTTGGGGGCAAAATCAGGGGGTGGGTCACATAATTTTGAACTCCTTCAAAGGGATGGGCTGTTGATAAAATTTGACAACTAAAAAGGGTAGGCCATTACAAAATAGAGTAGTATTATAATTGTCATCATCAGAATTTCTCAAGAAAATTTGCAGTTGCAGAGGATCTGGTTAGGAAGTATGTAGAACATCTGTAGTACCTTCGAATGAAAAAAAATAAAAGGGCAAATGAAAAGAAAAACAAAATAAGGAAGCATGCAGAGAAACTTAARGCATACAAAGACTATGAATGGAAAGACATACAAGAAAGCGGAATACTTAAGAAGCAGAGGGTTGCAGWCTTGGACCTCTTTTTRAAAAAGCACAATTTGCTCAAACTCAATTCAAAATGTACAAAAGTGAGAAAGTCCAAGTAATAAATGCTTGGCTGTCTATGCAGCTTTTAAATACTACGACAAGTACAACAGAGGAAGAGCTAGAAGAAATTGGTACTTCACGCGAGGACACTGAAGATGATGATAATTCATATGAGGACACTAATGAGGACACTGAAGATTTGGATAGCGACGAAGAAACTGACATTACTCATGAAATAGGAATAACTGATAGTGAGGAAAACGATAACAGAGAAAGAAGAAACCGAAGCACTTAATGTTACAATAATTGGTAGACGTGTGCAACCAAGAAAATTCTTTTGGGATTTAGATTTTTTTTCAGGGGTGTGTCATCTTCAATTTTGCTTCTAAACTGGGGTTGGGTCCTCCCATTTTCAGCATCATTTTATMATGGGCCARGATAAAAAAACACTGATTCTATTCTGATTTTGCCTTCCACCCCCCCCCCCCCCCCCCCCCCCCCCCCTCCCCCCCCCCCCCCACCCCCTTATACTTTACGACCAGTTTCTAAACATACTATACATCTTACAACATCGTTACACGTTACACAGCCTAACAGGTAAACACACCATACACCTTTATCACATCGTTACACGTTACACAACCTAACAGGTAAACATACTATAGACCTTACCACATCGTTACACGTTACACAGCCTAACAGGTAAACATACAACATCGTTACACGTTATACAACGTAACAGGTAAACATACTATACACCTTACCACATCGTTACACGTTACACAGCCTAACAGGTAAACATACAACATCGTTACACGTTATATAACGTAACAGGTAAACATACTATATAGTGCTGTTTTCGTATGACTGTGAAAAGCTCAGTGCCGTAAGCGTGAAGTGCCGTGACGGTGATACTTTCTAGAATTTTTATTGGCTGTCGATTTTTTTCACACCCAATATGATTGGTCTAAAAGTGCCGTGATCTTGGCGTGACCGTGTCCGCACCGTGTTTATGCCGTGTTCCGAGTATTTGATTGGATGGAGAGTAAGTTCTCGTGCAATGTGATTTGTCTGGCGTATCCCTTGCTGTGTCACGACCGTGTTCGTGCCATGAACTTTTCACAGTCATACGAAAACTGCACTACTATACACTATACTATACTAATATATATATTTCGGCACTGCTTAAAAGCGGAGCTCCCGATACGGAAGTCACAAGGAGCCCAATTTAAATGAAACTGAAAGGTAAAAATAAAATCGGGTGAAAAAATTTTCAATTATTTTTTATTCGAGATCAAGATAACTCTTCCCACAATAAAAAAAACATGCGCAGTGGAATACATTGGTTGTTTTGTTTGCGTGAGTATACTCTCATACTTAAGAATTTTTTTATACAATTCTCTCCCCACCCCTAGGGGCTAATTTTGGTCATGGAATATTCTTCGACGAAGTTCCATTGCCGATATTTTTAGACWTTGAATTTATGTTTAATATTACTTAAGGTAGTACCGGATCTTCAAAATTCTTCTATGAATTTTTTTTAAATTCTGTCATTTGAAGTTCATTGTTAGGGTATTCAAATACAATCTCGTACCCAGAGCCCACGTTCCTCTTGGTCAGCACCGAAAAACGAGAGGCTCTGGTTGTAACCGATTTTCAGTTGGCTTCCGGTCCGTGAATTTTGGGACCGGAAGTTTCAACTGCGCATGCCTTAATCACAGGTAAGCTGATGTTTGGGTTACCTTTGATCTTTAGGGATTCAAATTGTTTCGAACAAACGGTAATCAATTTTTGACCTTTTTAGCTTGAATGTAGTAGTTAAATTATTTATCCTTTGACTTCTTATAGTTTATTTAGCAAGTTTTTCCCCCGGGTACTAATTGCTTATGCTATTTTGTGAGTTTTTAACGTTTTTTTGAGTTCAAATCATCACGACAAATGCAAGAGCGATCGGTCGCGTACTCGAGTCGCACTAATCCTCGTGAAAATTTGCTTAAATTCCCGTCTCCTTATCATCTACTTCGGGTATGCGAAAGATTGATTATCGTACCACATTCTAGCAAATTTTGAGTTCGATCCAAGCGAATTTAGTGCTTGAAAAATCCACTTATTTCCTGATATTTTCGAGTCTGTTAGCCATTTTATTTCCGGAACGACTATTTCTATTGTTTTCCCCCGGACCAATAGGAATGCTCAAAAAATCGGTTACAACCAGAGCCTCTCGTTTCTCGGTGCTGACCAAGAGGAACGTGGGCTCTGGGTACGAGATTGTGTATCGATGCTGTATCATATTTCGACGCATGATCAGATGCAAATCATCCTCTGAACACGTCAGTCACGGGCGCGTAAGAAATGTCGCTATGGACATCTCAAGAATGTGTTGCCATCGCTTGTTGAAATTACGAAAATCGAGATTCACTGTGGTTCTATATAAATGCGCAGTCACACTCGGCCACATCCTAAACAGGAACACCGTCACCATTAGTACTGTATTCTGTTGCTAACCCATTATATTTGTGATTGGCTGTCATCATATCGTCAAACATCCAATAATATACGGCACTGATATCACGTGACGTTAACTGAAAACGTTGACCGCGAGGTTAGTGGGATATGTTTGTGCCTACGTACTTAGTGGCTGCGGATTGATGNAAATCAATGTATTTCCTCGTCTTTTTGTCAAAAATATACATGTGATATTGTAGAATAATTTACTAGGCTGCATTATTTGGGCAATCATGGAGGCTGCAGGCCGATTATCTCGGAAACAATACCTATTTTCCTTTTCTTACTTATCATTATTACTTTTCACTTTAAGAAATTTTAAAAATAGTTCAAATTTCTTATTAAAAAAGTGTCACAAAAATACGGCTTTCTTAATATAATAAAAGCAAAGGAGAACAAATTAAAAACAAGAAAAAGTACTAGACATGCTAACAGGGCATGGGAGAAAAACTCACCCGATATCTTTGAGCTTTTAGATGCGTAATGATATCCATTTCGAGGTATTCATTCACAGATTTGTCTTGCACGTCTCTTTCTTAACTTCTCCTTTTCTTTCTGTGTTAAGCTAAAATTTTGCCTCAAATTCCTTTGTCTTTCACGTTCATTTTCTCTATGTTCTTCCGTGAAATTTTGCCTCAAATTCCTTTGTCTCTCACGTTCTCAAGCATGTTAAGGCCTGAGTTATGAAGCAATTCTCTATCAAACCATTACAAAATAAGTTCTCTGGTGTTTCTGCTCAAAGTAAAACCAGCTTTCTCAAACTTTCTTAGATCGAGGGTCTTTACAAATTGGTTCCAATAAACGGAAAAAATTTAGGTCACGTGACCACGAAATTTACATAAAATTTACATAAAAATTCATTTTAATAGTAGGTGCTCGATTTAAGTCTTTGCTGAACGTTTTCAACCTCAATATATTTCTTTTCCTGAAGTCATTCAATGGACGTTGAGAATGGTTGGCTAAAGCTT